TGTTTTTATCTAAATAGTATTCATTTGGGCCTTTTTCCCCCCCTCTTTACTCCTTGCTAGTGGTTTCTCTGGACGTATCTCTTTTGATCAGCCTACAGAGGCTCCCTTGAGGTACAGCCTTCAGCTATTTGCTGTCACAAATAGGAAGGCTTCACCTACCAGAACAATGTTTGTGTATTTATTTCTTTATACTAAAGCTATTAAACCCATAACTTTAGTAGTGCAGTTTTGCTACTCCTTTACCTTCTCCTTTTCTTCTGTATTTTCTCCTTTTGCCAAATTTCTTGTGTCGATTACTACCTATAGTTTTATTGTACAGATTCATTTCTGTGTGAGGTATCATTTTGAGAAAGGGCACCTGTTAAATTCGTTATTCATTATGCATTTACAGAATACACAGTTATAAGTACCTAGTATGTACTGGGCAGCATTGGAAAACTGGGAGTAAATAAGGAAAAGAAATAGTTCATATCAAATCAGATTATTTTTATACTGTAATATAGTAAAATAAATGACATTCCGTTTCTCTCTCCAATTCTATTTCAGTTATGTAACCTGATGGGCTTTTTAAAAGTTTTTGGACAAATAATTAGATATTTTTGTATAGTACTGTAATTCCATAACTATTTTGAATCCCATAATGGAGAACATGAAAGTATAAACCCATGGCAAGAATACTATGGCCCTTTATATTTGAGTTAGACTTTAAAATGTCCTGGCCTCATAAACGGTTTCTTCGAGGAAATTTTCACCTTTTTAAATTTATTATAAACAGATGTCAACATTTCCATTCGAAACTACAAAATTTCCGACAGTATCCTATATGACAACTGCAGGAAGTGTACTTCTTGACTTTCAAAAAGTGACCTCCTAAGTGAATGCAACAGTCAAATGGAAGTTTCTTGGGTTTATCTTCCTGGAATGAAAATTGTATACTTTTGCTCAAAAATCTCTAATAGAGTAAAAGACAGCTGTCACCATTCCCCAGTAAACATAACAGCTTTTGCAAGATGAGAAAAAAGGCCTAAAGTTTTGCAGGAAAAACTGGCAATCTTGTACCAGAATAAAGAAACCTAGAAACGCATTCCAAGCTCCACTAAAATGCAATCTCATTGCTGAAAAACTTTTAAAAATTACAGTTGGACTGTGTATAACTATGTAAAATATTGGCCCCAGGGAGGAAGGAGTATTAAGATTAATGATAATAATATACACCTATACTGTGTTTACTAAGTGACAAGCACTGTTCTTATGTATGTAAACAAGTTAATTTCATGTTATAAATTAAAAACAAAACAAAACTGACAATCTTGTCTTTTCCTGTTAAAATCCTATGGTTAGCAATTGCTGAAGAAATGTGAAGGCTCCAGAAAAAAGTGTGCAGTATGTCTAATTCTTCCCAAACATGTAAACAGAACAAAAGGGCAGTAATTTCAAAATGCCAGAACTAGGCAAACCAGTGGTGTGTTTTTTTTTAACATAGATAAAATCCTTCACACCTCATTATAGAATTTGTTTTAAGCACTGAGCTTGCCTGTAAGAAAATTAACCACTGGGGCCAGAAGTTAATCACATATGATGAAAAGTTCCCTCAGGAAAAGCCAAGATTGCAAACGAGCGAACTCAACCCTGATTACCCATCTGTTAAAAGTTCGCATTTATGACACAGCAGTTGAAGCCATAACTGAAACTGGTTGGCTGATTTTTGGCTTCCTCTCTGATTAGCCATTCACAGGCCACAAAGGGACAGTAACTAGTAGTTTGTTTCCTGTTATTTACCTGCGGAGTTTGTTATAGAACTTGCTGGATTGGGGCACCTGGGTGGCTCAGTCGGTTAACCGTCCGACTTTCGACTTTGTCTCAGGTCATGATCTCGAAGTTTTGAGTTCGAGCCCCACGTCAGGCCCTGACAGCTCAGAGCCTGGAGCCTGTTTTGGATTCTGTGTCTCCCTCTCTCTCTGCCCCTCCCCTGCTCACGCTCTGTGTCTCAAAAATAAATAAACATTAAACAAATTAAAAAAGAAAAGAACTTGCTGGATTTAACAACAAAGGGAAGTTGTGGTCATATCCCATTATTCAGGAATAAGATAGGAATCTGTCTTTGACTAGATTTAGTTCTGAATTTTCAACTGGTACAGAGGGTAATACTGGTTAAATTAAGACCTTTCCTACAGTTACTTACATTGTGAAAACTTACTCAAAGGGCACATTAATATAACCTTTCAAAAATCACACAACAGAAGACCTTCACTAATGTAGTCAGTCTTCTTTGCATGTTTGGACAGTGAAAATCTAGGATAACTCAAACCATACAAATTCCACCTTTTGCTTTCTCCATTAGAATATACACATTGGAGATCAAGTTCCAAAAATCTCCTCTACTGAAGATAGTGAGACTTGGGTGTAAGCCACCTAGCCACATTTTGAACTCTTATAGAACGTCGACACCTGATGATGGAAGAGATTCTAATTTAAAAAGTATATTTTTGAAAACCTAAATTGACCCAGTTAATTTTCAAAATAAGAGTTAATTCATGTTTTCAGTTTATTGTCACACACAAAACATTTTATAAAATAATATGGTAGACTTCCACTTAAACATCTTCATGTAAAAACTTCAGTGCAAGAAAGTGATCACTATTAAGTATGAAGACATCTAAAGCCAGCCAGTAATTTAAGTATAGGGAGGATATTTTTGCGATTCTTCCTAAAAAATGTTGGCACATTCATTAAATGCCCAGATTATAAAAATCACTTAGTATCCACTGCTTATCCTTCAGTATATTTTTATAGCTACATGGCATCACATTAAATGCTGGTGGACGAAACAGCCTAAGAATCTAAAAACTTTTCAGGAGCACAATGATTTGAAACCATTGAGGCGAATGCTAGCCCCCAAATATTTTTGTATGTAATCTTTTGTCCATTACCACATAACAAGGTAAAAAAGTTGTTATACCTTAAAAAGAAGATAAAGGAAAACATTTCACTTTTCCTTTAATTTTGGGTGGGGGGAGAGAAAGTGTTTTATAAGTAAAACATCAAGTTTATGTCAGTTGTACAAATGTCTTATTTAGGAAAGAGTATTTTGATTTAAAGAATTCTAAAATATTTCATCATTACAAAAAAGGTGTAATTTAAAGCTAAAAAGTTATAACACTTTTAACTAATATAAATCATCCACTAGCAGATCCTATTACTTTTCACAAAATCCATAATTAAGGAACAATATAGATTAGGTAAAAGATCTCTTTTTCCAACATTTGGTCGAATTAGCTAAGAACCCCTGGGCAAACCACACACCACAAGTCTCAGGACTATTACCTCTCAAGTGAGGATCCTGGACTAACTGCCCTATTACATCCCTTCCAGTTTACAAATGTGTATAGAATTGTTAAACTAATTTTGAAAGTGAGGTGTTTCGACCCAATGTAAGTTCCCCACGTTTAAGTAGTAAAGCTGTTCTTTAAACATTTAAAATCTTACCTTAAATGTATTTTCACTATATTTCCCTGTCACCTTACATGATGAGGTATGACTCACAAGGTCCTCTAACTTCATGGTCTCCCAGACTTGGCGGCTGACAGTGATCAGCGGGTAGAGCTCAGGCCCTGCCTCCCATTCTGTGCAACTTTGGACCACCCTCTGAGTCTCCAATCAAGGATGATACCACCAGCTCTGTAACTGTTTTAAGGCCCAACAGAGTTATCATAATCTAGCAAAGTACTGGTAAACTACAAATTACCATATGAATGCAAAGAATTGTTACTAAGCCCTAGCTGAAGTTTTCCTGACAACAGAATCTAAACATTTCTTATAAAATATATGTTCTTTGTCAATACTTGTCCATTTATGGTTCTGATCCTTTGGTTACTTGACTGTTCTCATACAGTCAATTTGTCTCCAGCTTTTAATTATGCTTTTAATTGCACCAGGCCTGAGAGTGCTGGTCTTTTCCTGGAGTCTAGAAGTCTGACCTTTCAGTAAGTGAGAATCAAAACCTAAAGATCTCTGTTACTTTAGGAAATGTGGTATGGTCACTCACTTTAAAAGAGTGGTTTCCTAACTGGGTGAGGCATCAGACTCAGCTGGGAAGTGTTTTAAAGATTGTGATTCCTGGGCTCCAGCCACAGACAGTCTGATTCTGTATGTCTGGAGTAGAACCCAGAAAAGCTCTCTGTCTCAAAAGTTCCCCCAGATAATCACGATAATCTATAGTTCAATTTTGGGGACTCACTGCTTTGCCCTCAATTTCTTTTCTAGAATTTTAGCAGCTGCTAGTTTGTTTTTAGTATAAAAATTTCCCCCTGCATTAATCACAAGAAGCACATTCAGGGGAGACTGCCTACAATCTTGGCTTAGCTTCACAGGGAACTTATTACAATCCCTTGCAATGAAACTAAAAAATGATAAATCACCTTCAGAGTGAAGACAGTGCAGGTAGAGGCTGAAAGGTGGCTGCTGCTTCACTAACACGGCAACTGTTTTCTGCTTCACTTAGAGTCAGTCACTGGTACATCTGAAGACTGTCTTATTACAGCTGTCATTACACACTAATGAAGGATGGCACAACTCCAGAAAACAGAAGGATGGCTAACTAGCTTATCGGTATTATGAAGAAAATGTTTCTAGCAGACATGAACGAAAAGTTCTTTGAAACACACACACACACACACACAAACACACACACACAGCTTTCCGTAGAAACCCAAAGACTTCCGTGCTTCTGAAGTCTACCATAAAGAGAAAAGTTGACCAAAACTACAGGTGTTTAAAAATATGCTCAATTAACTGTGAAAATATAAGTGAAAAATAGGTACAATTTCATCCTTTAGTAGCCTTGACGGACATAAATGGAATTCACTTTCCATCTATTCTACCCAAATAGTTAATTCTGAAAATAACACATGACGTATTTGGTATAATGTGGTTCTGAACATCATCCCTTCCAAATTTAATACAGAAGCCACATTTGGATTTTCCAGGTGTCCCGAACGGATCTAGGCACTGCGAAATGTTGTCATGTCTTTTGGTTCTCTGCTAGGGACGCACCAGTCATCAGCCTCGTGGTTGGTGTTGTAGTGCTTCCAGGCAGCTTTGTTATACACTGGGAGTCTTTCTATCGAGTCTGTTGACAGAGCCTGAAAGAAAGAGCAAGACTTAAAAGTCTGGCGCTTTGTTTTTAGAATCCACTATTTGAGAAAATATACAATGGCAAAAAGGTCATTACGAATTAAACAGTACTTTATTGGATTCGTATTTTACTAATCATTAACAGCATGTACGTACATTATGAAACAGTGTACATATTTGAAACGCGTTATTTACTAAGTCTATTGCACTGCTGGGTGTGCATATTGCTTTACTGTTTTGTTTGCAGTAATTGTCCAGCCAGCCTGGAAGCTGCTGGATTGAAATTTTACACAGGGAAAGGAGATGCCTCTTATAAAAACACGACCCAGAACTTGGTTAACTGAAAAAATCAGTTAAGTGTAAAAGCATAAAAATTGACATATGTACCTTAACATATAATTATACAATCATTTAATGAACTCTATTTCAATTATTTGTTAGAAGAAATACTATTTTTTTCAGCAGCCATCCTAAAAAGATTCTCGATAAATACAAAACCATGTCTAAGGCGTCTTGGCTTTTGCTTGAAAAATTCTTGGCCTTGGGTTTGATCCTGTGTTTCTTCTCCTACCATTAAAGCCACCAATTTGTTATGGCATATGGGATTTCTGCATTGTGCATAATTCCATGTTTCCAACATACCATCACCATTAATTCACTGTTCTATTTCAGTTTCCTGTAAATCAGTGGAATCTGAGACAGACTATGTTTTTCCTGATCTTCTTCAAGTTAAGATATTTTAGCAGGAATTCAACGTTAAGCCACAGGTATTAAGATGCAGCAAATATTGAACAGGAAATCTCTTTCCGATAATGGTAAGGAAGGTCTTTGACACTGATTTTAATGATTTTATAAGATTCCTGTCTTCTATTTTTTTCCAAAGTGGAATTGAAAACCTTTCACCTATATATTCTCTTTAAATATGCCAGAACTGCCAGAACCCCTTATTCTTCTGTAGGCTAGATCAAAAATGTTACATTTGCTAATAAAAATGTTACCTTCATGTCGCCCTTTTAAAGTTACTCACAATTGAGCTGGTTTGAAAAAAAAATTATTATCTTGGAAGAATTTAACCTTTTCAGATAAATTTAGTTTTTCCAATATACAGTCTTCAGCATTTCCTATAAAATAGGTGCCATCTAGTGGCCAGACCAAGAAACCTGAGTCACTATATGAGGTACCAGTGGGCTGATGGGGCTCAGTACTCTCTAACCCTGTAAAATATGCTGATCTTTGCATAAACACATGGAACATCACAGGCCAGTAGGCTAACTGCTTGTGCTCCTACAAGGTGAGCTATATGCTTACCAAGAATCACCTGTGCTTGTTCCCAAATCTGTTAGGCACTTCTATCATTGTAATTACATAATGTAATCAAGTACTAAACAAGTACTGCTTAAACAAAATGCAAAACAAGGGTGGGGGTAGGTTCTTTGAAAACTAAGATGAATGCTTTGGAAAGACTTATGAAGGAAAGTCACATAAAAATTGCCATCAAATCCGAGTCAGAAGACATCTGTAAGGGACTACATATAAATAAGAAAGGATTATGCACTTGATTGTTTCTTTGTTTAAAGAAATCAAAACAATGCATTATAAGTATAGCTTCTGCAAGAAAGACTACTGAAACTTGAATCTGCAGACTCCTATTCAAAGAAAAGACCATGGCAGTACATCAAAAAAAGATTGGTGGATCAATGTCCATTCATGTGTTTTATATTAAAATTAAACTTCTATGATATATAACTTTTTATGATTCCCCACTTCATTTTTTTAATATGAAATTTATTGTCAAATTGATTTCCATACAACACCCAGCTTCATCCTAAATAGGTGCCCTCCTCAATGCCCACCTATTACCCATTTCTCTCCTCCCATCAACCCTCAGTTTATTCTCAGTTTTTAAGAGTCTCTTATAGTTTGGCTCTCTCCTCCTCAGAATTTTTTTTTTCCTTCCTCTCCCTCATGTGGCCTTCTTGTTAAGTTTCTCGTGGATCCAGAAAATATATCTGTCTTCTCTGTATGGTTTATCATCAGGCATAACACTCCAGTTCCATCCATTGCTAAAGGCCATATTTTATCTTTTTTTTCATTGCTAAAGCCATATTCCATTGTGTATATTAAACCATAATTTCTTTTATCCCATTCAATGTTTGATGGACATTGAGGCTTGCTCATAATTTGGTTACAGTGCTGCTATAAACATTGGGGTGCAGCCTCATGCATCAGGCACCCTGTATCCCTTTGGGTAAATTTGCAGTGCTGTTGCTGGGTCATAGAGGTAGATCTATTTTTTAATTTTTTGAGGAACTCCCACACTGTTCTCTGTAGAGTGGCTGTAATTGGGGTTTGTGGCATTCCCACCACAGTGTGGGCAGGGTTCCGCCTTCTCCACATCCTCTCCAGCATCTATAGTCTCCTGATTTGTTCATTTTAGCCACTCTGACTAGCATGAGGTGGTATATGATTCCCCACTTCAACCTGACTTTTTTTCTAACAACCATAGTCCTGATCATTTCAGATTAGAGTGTGTCTTTTCCCATAGTCAAAGAGATCATTTGTGAATATAGATGAGATCCTACATAAAAACCACATTCTTATATTTTAATAGCAATGAGGTAAAAGAAAATTTCATTAAAGCTACATATTGGCATCTTTTCTCATAACCAAAAGAAGTATTATTAAATCAAAAAGACTATGTTATTACCTTAATGTAGATAACTGCATCTGTCCCATAACCCTCTAGAGAATATAGCTTTAGGTCTCCTTGGAAGTACTGGGCATAAAGACGTGATATGGGCAATCCATAACCAAAACCAGCCTGTTTGATGAGAAAAATGAAATTCTATTCAGAAAGCCACACAGTAAAATACTTTTCTAGTTAAAATAAATGCTTCTGAGTATCCCATGGCTATCAGAGCCTGCATGTAAGAGATCATTAATACCTAACTACTAATACTGATCAGACGGAAGCCTAGTTGGGTACTACATTAGATGACTCCCCGCTGGTCATTTAAAACTCATTCTTTTTTTCTGTAGAATGACTCCTGTAGATCTAGAACAGCACATTGCTCTTCTTCGCTGCCATGCTCTACAGTATCCCAGTATTGCTTTCGGCAATATCACATAAAACATGTTCTTTCTCTTAGGAGCAAGAGTAGAAAAAGCTTTGTTGCAGCCTCAGAGATACATACATCTTTTGACTTCATACCATGAATTTCCAGCCTGTGTTCTGAACCTGGATCGATCAATAATAGGTCCACTTTCCTACTCACTGACAAGTCACTTCCCTGCTTAAAAACCTACAAAGCACATCACCGCTAACACCACGCCCTACCCACCCACCATCCCCAACCCACTGCCTTGAGATAAAATTCAAGCTTCTAAAAAGAGCTTTCAAGACCTGATCAGACCAGGTCTCTGCCTCCCACCTTCCAGTCCAGCTGAACCAAATCTCCTGCTCTTAAGTTCCTCAAACAAATGTTAGTTTTCACTTCTGTGTCTTTGTTCATCCTGTTCCCAGTATCTGGAATGGCCTTCTTTACCTGAATAAATCCTACAGATTCTTTAATGCAAAGCAAAACATTTGGACAAATGTAAAAACAGTTTTTATCACCAAGTCAGATGTTCGATGATATTCCATGTTAACACTTCAGTTAAGAGTTTCTGTGGATTCGGGAATCAGAATGCTATCAACAAATGCAGGCTCTGGCTTTACCTAACTCTACCATTTATTACTTGACCTTTCCAACCAGAGTTTCTGTTTATCCCTCCAAATCAACAACCCATTCTCCACATTACTCCTTGCCCCGGGAGGATTATGTCAGTGGATCCCCCTGCCCTCTGCTTCCAGTGGGTCCAGCCAATAGGGAAGTCTGTAGGAGTTCAGGGGGAGTCAAGTCAGGATATTTATTCCTCTGCTTTCTTCCTGCTGAGTTGCTTCCCTTGGGGCTGGACCACTGAGTGTAAGCAGCTGCTCTGTTACTGTCTCTTCTTCTGGGTTCTGCCAACTTCTCCTTCTCCCTTTGATTCAGGGTGGGAACAGCTCTATGCTGCCAGCCCTGGATCCCTATACTACCCCTGCCCATAGCTCTGTAATTTGTTTGCCAATATGCCTTCCTTGCATTATAATTTGAATGAGCTATTTCGTTCCTTGGTTGGGACCCTGACTGATGCATTAAATGGTCCCAGAAATAGCCTCTAGGAAACTGCACAAGCCATGTGGCTCAGGATCCCATGGTACCTGATCTACTTGATCACCTGCCTCTACCTCAACCACACACAGGGACTCACAGGGCTTCCCCTATAAACAGTTAACAGGGAAAGAGAACACCATGGGCCTGGTGCACCCACGACCTACATGTTTGCCAGCACCAGCCAAAGTGGACTGCCCTTTCGCTACGACCCTTCTCAGAGGCAGGCCTGAAAGGTGGGCGTGAAGTGAATCCTACCAGCGGGCAGAGCTGGGAGTTCTGCGACTACAGGAACTCACAGGCAGTGGCAAGGAAGCTGGCTGGCCGGTCAGGGACTTAGAACAAAACTGGGTAACTAATGAGAAGAAGGTCTGGAAGAGAGAAATGTGGATGGTTGTCTCTGAACGGGCTTCCACTGTGAAGATATTCTGTCCATGCAGATGCCCACCAGGTGTCCACATGGAGGAAGCACTCAGTAACCAGGTAGACGAGATGGTCACGCCCGTGGATGTCAAGCAGCACTTCTCCAGCCGTCCCAGTGCTGGCTTACTGGGTCTACTTACAAAGTGGCTGTGACACGAGGAGGGAAGCTCTGTAAGAGCCTAATGGTGGTCTTAGCCTTGGTAAGTCTATGTCGATGTACAGAGAAGCCTGTGCCACGCCACACCTCTTGTTTTCTTAAAAATTCACGTAAGTGTTGCATCCTAAATAACACTTATATGGCATTTACTACATGCCAGGCACCATAAAAAGTAATTCTACGTATATTAACTCAATCCTCACAATAACTTGATTTTTAAAGTTAGGAAAACTACAGCATTAAAAGTTCAATAATTTTCTCAAAGCTATACAGCCAGGATAGAGTGGAGTGGGGCAGGGAATCAGACAGTTTTGATCCAGAGTCTGGACTGGTATTCTATGCCACTCTTCATAAAAATTCTACAATAGTTATTACAAAGCGGTATAGCTAAGAATCTAAGAAGATGCTCCTGTTTATTATTTGACCATGTCTGCCTGTTGGCACATGGATGCACATGTATCTCAATTTGAGAAGCACATCCCTGGAGTAATCATTTTAAAAGTATGGTAAGAACATGAACTATATTACAGTTGTAATGACAGAATCTGTGCTGTGTAACAAGTAAAACTGTTAGAATAAAGTCCTTCTAGGAACTTCTTAGAAAGAACCTAAAATAGATCCATCTGGTACTGTATGTCATCATGTTACTGCATAACCCCAATGCATATGTCAGAGAAGTTTTAAAGCCCAGAAGAACAGCTCTTCCAGAGTTACAGGTCAGAGATTTGGCAAAGTGCTTTTCTAGGGGTTAGAGGACAAGGATGGAACCAGTTCAAAAGCCGATCACATTATATCTGAAAATAGGTAGCTGAGATCAATAAAAACTACCATCACAACAAAAATAATTTGAGCCTTTTCCAGGCTGGTGATTAGATGATCAGCACTCTAGTCTTTTTTCTGAGTCTAGAATATGAGTTCTTTCTAATTATCAGTACTTGAGGAAAAAGAAACCAACACTGAAGAGTAAATCAGTGTTGGCCAAATGCTAGTAAAACCGGTAATTTAGTCTTCACGTTAGACATGGTGTATCAAAACATGGTTAACCACATGAACACTACTGACACATCACTATCAAGTGAGGCAACGAGAACTGTAAAACAATACTTTGTCTTGTGCTCTTTTCTCTTAAAAAA